GACAAAACAACATTTTTAATACCCATTCAAGTCCAATAATAAAGATCTACAAATTCACAGGAATTCATTCTAGCTTGTGCCCAAACTCACTCTCACTTAAAAGGGAGTGCATAATGGAAAAGATTTTTTAGCAATCACAACTACATACTTCTTTGAAAGTATCTGGGAAGCATCCCTTTTTCTTTTTCTTAAAAAAAGGGGAGGCAAGCAACTGATAATCATCTTAACATAAAAATCAATGGAGATTTGAGATCAACACAACAATGCATACTACTAAATCTAAAAGGGAAAGATGGATACTACTGCTTTGTACATGATCAATGATCGCTTGTCTATATTAATGAGCAAGCTAATACACAAAAGGTAAGAATGATATTATGTACAATGGTGAGGCATATCAAAAACTTTGGCAAGGATACTCAGCAAATCATCACCTCCTGAGTACCTCTGAATGACAAAGAATTTGACAAAGAAGCTAATATAATTACAAATCTATTGATTCGGCAATGTTATGGTAAACGAAAACAGCCACATACTACCAATATAAAGCAACTTCCATCCTTACCTTTGTAAATATAATTTCTTTCAATTTCTTGCTTGAATTCAACCATATCAACTGTCTTTAATTGGTTTGAAAATATAGAGCATATAATGTACATAATGAACTTACAGTTTGTAAGGATCGGCGACGGTATAACCAGTGGGCTTTGCCATCGGAATCAAACCTGAGATAAATTAAGAACCCCAAATGAGAATCAACAAACTACAAGAGATGTTGAGGCATTTTTTTATAAGATGCTAGACAAGTATGAGGACAATAAGAAAGGCACAAAATGACTATACGAAGAAATCAATAATTGTACAACTGCTCCATATTATAACATGAACAAAAGACTTAGAGGAGAACAACACGACAGCAGAGTGACACGCAAATATTAGGCAGGCCAGGATTGTCGCATTAACCATGGGTGTGGGACAACTCTTGGGCTTCATGGGCATTGGCCGGATGTTGATTATATTATATACAACGTCGAGTTACAAGGGTTGAACAAGATGCCAAGGGAATATTATCAAAGGTTTGTCTAATTTATACTTTAAAAGTTTAAGTTAAATTTCATTAATTAATATATTTTGAATTAATTTTAAAAAATCCCATTATTCAAAGTGAGTACAGAAAATCAAAACCTCTTAACTGTGAAGACGTCCTGATTTTTATTTTTTTGTTGTGCAAATTATTGTAAACCTTACAACGAAATTTTCATTCCCAAAAAAATCTCAATCGTTCAGCGGTTGCCTAGACCTTTGGCAAGTAAATGTATTTTAAATAAAAGATGGCCATTAATTGTGCAGATTGAAACTCTGTAGAGTGAAGATGGGTGTAATCGACGGCAAGTCCGTGGTTTGGTAGTCGTCGAGTGAGGGAAGGTGTGACGAATGGATGGAGATCGATCTAAGGTTTGCGAGAAGTTTAGAGGAGGCCTTGCTTCAATGTTAGTGATCCCATTTACGAAAATGGGGCCCCCCTGACCCGGTCCATGTGTTTTTAGTTGGGAGAAAACAACTTCTAAAAAAATTATTTGGAAGTTTTTTTTTTTTTATTAAATGTAAAAGTGAT